ATTTCCTGATAAGTTCTAACTGAGTAGGACATTTCTCATTAGGATCAGTCATATTCAGACTAGCTATTCTTCTCCAGCCTCCTCCTTTACCACACAGAGTCTCCATGTGACAGTATACATGACGACTATGTCCATTAACATCAGCTAGATTATAATAACCTGAAGGACTGTTAGGCCACTTACTGAGGATAGCATCACATGAGGAGAGGAGAGGAGATGAAGGAGCCTCTTCTTCATCATCTAAACTCACATTAACATGTTTTGCTAACAATCGAGACAACTTGTTAAGATCAGATGAGAGAGAAGACACTTGTGATTGCAGTGAACTAATGGCTGAAGGAATATCTTGTTGCTGTTGTTCAATGGCACTCAGTCTAGCATTGGTGTCCTCTAGTTTAGAAGTGATGTCAGCAGTGGATGTGTTCAATATTAGTTCCATTCTTTTCAGAATGGCCAATCCTTCTTCATTACTACTATTGGATGACTTCTCTTTGTAAGATCCAATCAATTCTTTAAGGAAGGAGAGTTGAAAGAGACTAGTGACACTAGAGAGACTCTCACTCACTCCATTAGATGATCCTTTAAGCTGATCACTGATATTAGTCAGTGAATTCTCAATGAAAGACAAAGTAGAATCACAAGTACCATCATTATCGGATAATGAATAAGAGGTACATGTAATGCAAAGTACCACAAGGATAGAATAATAAGAATACATCTTTGATGAAGACAAGTCTTTATTGTAATGTAAAGCCTTTTATAATGCAAGACTTTTGTATTGCTAGGCAACAGCTAAAAACCTTATCTATATAAACAATCCCTCCCTACAATATAAATAGGTCAAACTACTATACTTAAGTTATCATATATACATGTATACTTGTAATATAGAGTAGCTAGGTTAATTGATGCAGCATTTCCTGCTTTCCCATAACCTGCAAATATAATGCAAACACATGTACATGTACACTACATGTGAACATATGCCTTTACCAAGTCAAGGAAGCTTTATACCAACTCAAATAGCCCATGGACTATTATTGTATACATGTAATTCAATGAAATTAAACTAGCAAAATTAAATGAGTCCTACAAAATGTTCCAATAGTAATCTGTAAACTATTCATCACTTAACATAAATTTCATATTGTTCAAAGGAAACATCTTCATCACTTGTCCCTTGATCACAACAGACTCTCATCTCAATATTATCAGTAGTAGAATAACCAAAAGATCTATAGAACCAAGGAATAAGAGTACGCTGACAACAAGTGGTTTCACTACTACCACAACCTTTACCATCCCATAATGGATCAGAAGGATATAATGTAGTATAAAATGGATGTGATTGGTGACAACCAGATTCACAATAATAGTGAGAACCAACAAACGATGGAACTGGATAAGGTGTATGACTAGCACAAGGACAATCACTGACAGCAATACCTGAATATCCACTAATCAGTGTCCAGATATGTTTCCTTGGGTTACCATGTGTTAGACTAATACCATCAATGTATGCTGAGTTTATATCCTTGCTAGCATAAAAGGCTGCTGCTCCATCTGTTGTTCCAATCTGATATCCAATCACTTTACCACATAATTGTGAATATTTTATATCTCTTGATGGAAATGTTATACCAAAACAGCTACCACTATTAGTCACTGGTCTACCACAAGCGCCAACTCCATAAGTTCTAAACTGAGTAGGACATTTCTCATTAGGATCAGTCATATTCAGACTAGCTATTCTTCTCCACCCACCTCCTTTACCACACAGAGTCTCCATGTGACAGTATACATGACGACTATGTCCATTAACATCAGCTAGATTATAATAACCTGAAGGACTGTTAGGCCACTTACTGAGGATAGCATCACATGAGGAGAGGAGAGGAGATGAAGGAGCCTCTTCTTCATCATCTAAAGTCACATTAACATGTTTTGCTAACAATCGAGACAACTTGTTAAGATCAGATGAAAGAGAAGACACTTGTGATTGTAGTGAAGCTAATTGAGGCTCAATAGCATTCAGTCTGGCATCAGTTGCAGCAGTGGAGGTATCTATTTTGGCATTAATGGTTGTGGTAGAGATGTTAAGTATTATTTCCATGCGTTTCAAATAAGCTAATCCTTCTTCATTGCTTTTACATGACTTCTCTTTGCAGGATCCTACCATTTCCTTTAGCAGTGAGAGTTGAAAGATACTAGTGACACTATGAAGATTGTCAGTAACTCCATCTTTAAGCTGATCACTGATATTAGTCAGTGAATTCTCAATGAAAGACAAAGTAGTAGGATTAACACAAGTACCATCAAGTGTACTACTGGCAGATAATGAATAAGAGGTCATACAAAGAACCAGTAGAATAGAATAATATGAATACATCTTCACTTCAATGAATGAAACTTTTGTCATAATGTAAAGCCTTTTATAATGCAGGTATGTATGCTAAAAACCTTTGTCTTTCCTTTTATAAACAATTCCTCCTTATAAGATAAGTATAATTGATAATTCATATCTTCCCATAAAAAGGTCAAGCTTAAAACCATAGACTAGTCCTCTCTCATTGAGCAGGTCACTCACACTGAAGTGCAGTACTCATTTCTTGCTTTCAAAAAAGTAATTGATCACTTTTTATTTCTATAAACTAAATCACTCAAGCATAATAGCTCTAAAAAGTTATCAAATATGTCCAATAAATCAAACCAAAAAGTGTCAACAATTACATGTGCTGTTTTATCAATCTTCACTTGACATAAATTTCATATTCCCTAATGGCAACATCTTCATTATTTGTGCCTTCATCACAGCATAACCTCATCTCAATATTATCAGTAGTAGAATAACCAAAAGATCTATAGAACCAAGGAATAAGAGTACGCTGACAACAAGTGGTTTCAGTACTACCACAACCTTTACCATCCCATAATGGATCAGAAGGATATAATGTATTACAAGATCCCCAGTTATTGTGACAACCAGCTTCACAATAATAGTGAGAACCAACAAATGATGGAACAGATTTTGGATTGTTACTACCACAAGGACAGCCACTAAAAGCAATACCTGAATATCCACTAATCAATGACCAGATATGTTTCCTTGGGTTACCATGTGTTAGACTAATACCATCAATGTATGCTGAGTTTATATCTGTGTTAGCATAATGAGCAGCCGCTCCATTTGTTGATTGATCCTGATATCCAATCACTTTACCACATACTTGTGAATACTTTATATCTCTTGATGGAAATGTTATACCAACACAGCTACCACTATTAGTCACTGGTCTACCACAAGCAAGAACTCCATTTTCTGAATAAGTTCTAAACTGAGTAGGACATTTCTCATTAGGATCAGTCATATTCAGACTAGCTATTCTTCTCCAGCCTCCTCCTTTACCACACAGAGTCTCCATGTGACAGTATACATGACGACTATGTCCATTAACATCAGCTAGATTATAATAACCTGAAGGACTGTTAGGCCACTTACTGAGGATAGCATCACATGAGGAGAGGAGAGGAGATGAAGGAGCCTCTTCTTCATCATCTAAACTCACATTAACATGTTTTGCTAACAATCGAGACAACTTGTTAAGATCAGATGAGAGAGAAGACACTTGTGATTGCAGTGAAGCTAATTGAGGCTCAATAGCATTCAGTCTGGCATCAGTTGCAGCAGTAGAAGCATCTATTTTGTTGGCAATAGATGCATTGATGTTTTTCAATAGCTTCCTTTCTTCTTTATCACATGACTCATCCTTATAATCTTTTGCCAGTTCCTTTACTAATGCTAATTGAAGGAGACCAGTTAGTCCTTCACTAGTAGCACCATCTGATGAACAGGATGATCCTTTAAGCTGATCACTGATATTAGTCAGTGAATTCTCAATGAAAGACAAAGTAGTAGGATTAACACAAGTACCATCAAGTGTACTACTGGCAGATAATGAATAAGAGGTCATGCAAAGAACCAGTAGAATAGAATAATAAGAATACATCTTCACTTTAATGAATGAAACTTTTGTCATAATGTAAAGCCTTTTATAATGCAGGTATGTATGCTAAAAACCTTTGTCTTTCCTTTTATAAACAATTCCTCCCTATAAGATAAGTATAATTGATAATTCATATCTTCCCATTAAAAGGTCAAGCTTAAAACCATAGACTAGTCCTCTCTCATTGAGCAGGTCACTCACACTGAAGTACAGCTCTCATTTCTTGCTTTCACAAAAGTAATTGATCACTTTTTATTTCTATAAACTAAGTCACTCAAGCATAATAGTTCTAAAAAGTTATCAAATATGTCCAATAAATCAAACCAAAAAGTGTCAACAATTACATGTGCTGTTTTATCAATCTTCACTTGACATAAATTTCATATTCTCTAATGGCAACATCTTCATTATTTGTGCCTTCATCACAGCATAACCTCAT